AAAGCATGTTTCCTGTAAATGGGAACTCCAGCATACCGCAATCACTTAACATCTGCCTAAAGGGCAGAAAAGAGCTATCAGAACGTTGTCTGCCTCCTTCTTTCTCTGCATGACATGTAATTTCATTAAAATCCCCTATCATGAACCAAGGTCCATCTCTTGTTGTTGAGAAGCGCGTAAGACGCTCCCAAACTAAATCCCGTCTCTCTAGAACAGGATCCCCATAAACAAATGTCATGTAGACTTTTATTCCATCAATGACTGCCTCAATGTCAATCATTCTGTTATTTGAAAATAAAACATTAACTTGAAATTCATCCATAAAAAACAATGCTAAGCCTCCGCTGAAGCCAAGTGGCTCAACGGTAAACAAACGATCATATCCTAAGTCGGCCTGAATTTCTTGCAACAGCAGCCTCCTATTCTTCGTCTCAGTAAGAAACACAAGTCCTGGGTGATGCTTCTGACACATCTCCGTAAGGCGTCGAACTGTGAGGTTGTTTCCGATCCCTCGACAGTTCCAACTGAGTGTCCTCATGGATACTGTTTTGATGGGTTTTTGGACCCCATCAAACCAGCATCATCTTGACTATGTTGACTACTTCTCCTCCGATCGTGTTGTCTCCTTTGCCCATCTTTTTTCTTGGTCCTCTTCTCAGCATCTCGCGGTCCAGGAGAGGAAGCAGCAAAGTTTCTTGGGGAACCCCGACGAAGAAATTCTGTTTTTTTAGATTTGATACCCAACGGAGCATTCGATCTATTCTTCTCACGTGAAATCTTCGCTCTATCCTTGCGGATCACAGCACTAGAACTAGATGAGCCCGAGTACTTATGAGACTCCGTATCCTTCCTCTCCGTCTCCTGCAATGCCATAAGCTCTTCCCCTAATAAGTCATCATCTTGCTCGCCATAGTCCAACTTCTCTTCCTCCATATCCATTGTTGTCTCCATGTCATTAAGCGCTCCTATCATCTGATCTCCTTCCTGTCCATTGATGTCCGCTTGTAGAGAATTTGGAGAGAATGTAAGAGCACGAGGCGCTCCTTTTACACGCTTGGTAACATTAGTATCCATTTCTTGGGAAGAAGGCAGTGGAGGCACAATGGTGCTCTTTAACCAAGGTTTTGGGTGATTAGTTGATAGCGCCTCCTTGCTATTACGGTTAGATGATCGATGAAGACCTTGTTGTTCATATGGAACAACATTAACGTGAGGCTGGTTTGTGACCTCGAGAGTCGCAGTTACATTAGTAGGCCCATGTGGTGATACAATGGCACTTGCAATCCTCTTTGCTCTTCCATGTTCTTGTCCCCCTTGTTCTGTTGACTTTCCCTGCTTCTGAGAACGTTGATCAGCATAACGAGACTGTTCCTGCTCCCTCACTTGAATAGCTGTATTGTGATCATAAGGATCCACACTCGTCGCCTCCCTGCTCTGAGTACGTAACTGTCTTCGCCTCGGAGACGCATCGAAGGTGACATTTTTTGCACGCCATTGAACCTCCCTATTCCGTGAATATGGTGACCTATGAGGTTTCCACTTATCATGTCTACGCAACACCCTATCAGGGTAATGATCCCTGTGGCGTTTGTTTTCAGACCATGAAGTTTTCTGACTACCATCTCCATTTCCACTTGAGAAGTGACTATCAACAGGCCGATTGTTATCTTCATTTCCCACATTCCTAGCAGTATAACCCTTGGTGGATGTGTGGGGACGATCATTCAGGACCTAGGTAAGCCCGCCTGTTGGTAACTTAACCCTCGAGAACACTCCCCCGCGAGCATTATTACCGCTATCAGCTTCCAAATTCAACAAGCATTGTTCTTTCTCATGAGTTAAGTAGCCACACTTAGTGCAATGCTTGAATAAGAGATCGTAAGTGATCTCAATGGTTACTTCTTCCCCATGTGGAGAAGACGCCAATGTTTTAAATTTCAGAGGCTTTCTTGTGTCGACATCAATCAACATTCGCCCTTCTTCAAGCTCCAACGTGTCAACCTTCCCAATACGTGCACCTAGACCACGCAGGTTCTTAACTGTCCAGAAATGCAAGGGCATTCCGGTTAAACGAACCCAAAAAGGTATAACCCACGGATAATCATCATGAACTATGGGCTCCCATCGCACAAGAACGAACATGCAATAGTTGTAATGGAAAGGGCCTTGGCTCAGAACGGTAGTGATGTCTTCCTCGGTTGTAAAGTTGAACAGAAATTTCCCGTTACCAAGGTCATTAGGTGTTAATCTGTCTTGCATACCCCATTGCTTAGGCATATACTGGATCAACTTCTCTACATTCTGTTTTTTCGGGTTCAACACTTTACCAATGAGAGATAGTCTAAACTCATCCATGACCTGAGAATCCTCCTCCATCTCCAGCTGAAAAGGTTCTTCCTCTTCCTGAATAGCTTTACCCTTAGCTTCTGTCGTAAGGACAGAGCTAGAGCGTCCCCTTGGACCAAGCATAGTCGTACTCTGTTTTAAGGCAAGAAAACAGAGTGAGAACAAAGGCTAGAGAATATCTTCTCGGATCGATGCAGCAGGCAAAGGCCTCAGCGGTGATATCCGGTGTAAAGCAAACGCCCAATCCCCGTCAAACGGACTAGGGTTTACAGTGAGATTGGAAAATTTCAAGAGAAATCCTCTGTAACTTGATGAAGAAGCCACCAGTTGCAACAGAAAACAGTGAAACGTGGAGACGTGTAGATCACAAGGAGTGAGGATTGTCTCCCTTGTGATCCAACGGGAACCACTGGGATCGTCGAACTCGTGAATCTGGATCAGATCATCGTCAATCCCATCCGAAGTCGTCTTGTTTGTTGCAGAGGAATGGAGATCGATGAAGCGCCGACGGCAAGAATGGCGGAAGGAACGGAAATATGATCACCAATGGATGAATCAAGCAGAGACAAGGGCGTCTCTTCGTCAATCCTCGATCGCCTCCATGATCGCCATAGCAGCTAGCGGCTAGGGTTTTTCATGTCCATCTGTCTATATACTCCCTATACAATCTAGAAATCAACTAACTAAAAATGTGCTATAATTAGCGTCGAGGTTGTACGACTTGAAAAAAAAAAAAAAAAAAAATAATAATAATAATAATAATAATTATTACATTATTAGGCCTAAATATATATAAGAATATGAAAAAACAGATTTGCAACCAAACCAAATATTGATGCAACAATCTTGTTCTTTGCTCCTCCGTTGGCCTCTCCGCCTTTGCCTAACAAAACCAAAGTTGATTAATTACCATAAAATCACCATAACTCTTGTTCCAAATTGCACTATGAATCTTTAAAACATAGCGGATTTCTAACTAAATGTTCGGATGTTCTTTGATGACAAAGTTCCAAAACGCCCTAACTTTAAAACCCCTTAACTCAATTTTGGAATGTTATTATCGAAATAAATTTTGCAGCGTAAACGCTTCGACCCATCAATTTTGTCATAATAAGACGAAAACTATAAATTCTTGTAACCATAAGGAAGTAAAGGGAAATTTAAAGCAAGTACCATTACAGGCGAATTTCTTAAGAACGCCACAAGCGCGGCTGATTTGGTCGTAGAGAGGTCGGGTTAAGTTGCGGTTAGAAGGATTTGCAATGAACTTGTTGCAGAGACAATTCACTTCCTTCTTGCTAGCCGTTTTGAGATCCTTGCAGCATTTTTCTGATGGTACCAAGCTCATCGTTGCATAGCAATGTTTGACGATTTCGGGAATCGCTAACGGGCAAGGATCCCCCTTTCTATTTTTGCTAGAACTTGAAGGTGGAATCGTTTTTGGTTTTGTTGCTTCTGTCCATTGAGGAGCGATCATTACCGCTAGAAAGAGCACTGCTGTTGCAACCGCAGCCGCTACTGGAACTTTGTAAGTATAAGCCATGACTTTTGTCTACCGCCGGCATATAACAAATTTTAATTGTTTTTATCTTATTGACTAGTATTTCTCGCTTTCCTTTTTTGTATGTAATGTGACTCCTCGAGAGTACATTATCATATATAGTCTTTGATTGTACATTACTGAATAGTGAATACTAGTATTACTAACCCTTTGATTATATAGCAAGTAGACATATTGTTTTGCTTTACATTGTTTACCACTTCTCAACGACTTTATAAAACATTTCTTGGCATTTGATTAGTTCATATGTTCTGAGAATCTTATATTTATAAAGGAAACACAACATTCATCAACAAGTCAGAATTGCCTGTATTAAAAATTGCTGACCATTTAACAAAGTCAAATGGGGCATTTGAGTCCAGACGTGAGATTCACTCAACCGATACAAAACAAGTAACAAATACAGCTCTATTTTATTGAAAACAATCTATTTTTTTTTCTTAAATACCTTATATTAACGTACCTTCGGGATTACAGCTCAGAAACTCCACCTGATCACACACGATCAGCACTACAAAAACGAAATAGCTAAAACAGAATCCTACTAGTTGCTGAATCTAACAAGCCAGGTTGACAAAAAAGTAACTGTCGAAGGCCAATTCCTCTGCTCCCTAGAAAGAGTATCCAATTTTTCTCGAATAGTCCGTTGTATCGCAGCAACCAATGACGAAGCTGAGCGAGAAACTTGAGTGTGCAACCTCGAATTCCTTTCCTTCCAAATCATGTATAGAGAAGCTTGAAAGGCGAGCTTGAAGTCAAAGAGTCCTTTTAATAGTTTTAATGTTAGTTTTGGGTTCGAACTCGATAGTATAGAAAACATCTCTACTTTGAAACAATTCATAAGTTTCAATTGTGTATATTTTTTGTTTAGAGTAGAACTAGTTATGCATGGTTTGTTCGGCTATTTTCGGTTTGGTTTCCAGATTGATTGGTTTTCCTTCCACTTCAATATAAACAGATTCTGCCTCAAACTGCAGCTGTCGATCAATGGGTCCATTAATGCACTAGCTGAGAAACATCATTTAACCCATAAACATCATTATTAGGCCCAACAGCGTAAGAGAATCTATACTATTATTTGCGAATTGATTTTTCGCAACGGAGCTCTCACATTAAAAGTTGGAGCGGTTAATATCTATTTTACCCTTAATGAAATTTTTATATATAACTAATTTATAATTAAAAACGAAATTTAAAAATAAAATTAGATTAATAAAATAAAAAGATAATTCCTATATATATTGTGTTGTTATCCGAAAAATATATTTTAATAAAAACAGAAAAACATAAACAAATATTCGTAAAGTAATAATTTAAATTAATAATAGATAAGAATTATCCATAATCTATATATATATATATATATTTAAAAATAAAATAAAAAGATAATTCCTATATATATTGTGTTGTTATCCGAAAAATATATTTTAATAAAAACAGAAAAAAGATAAACAAATATTCATAAAGTAAAATTTTTAGTTGTATATAATTGAAAAGAGAAAATTGAAAATTTATAATATGTAATTATCTATACTATTATTTGCGAAGTGATTTTTCGCAACGGAGCTCTCACATTAAAAGTTGGAGCGGTTAATATCTATTTTACCCTTAATGAAATTTTTATATATAACTAATTTATAATTAAAAACGAAATTTAAAAATAAAATTAGATTAATTAAATAAAAAGATAATTCCTATATATATTGTGTTGTTATCCGAAAAATATATTTTAACTAATTCATAATTAAAAACGAAATTTAAAAATAAAATTAGATTAATAAAATAAAAAGATAACTCCTATATATATTGTGTTGTTATCCGGAAAATATATTTTAATAAAAACAGAAAAACATAAACAAATATTCATAAAGTAATAATTTAAATTAATAATAATGATAAGAATTATCCATAATCTATATATATATTTAAAAAAAAATAAAAAGATAATTCCTATATATATTGTGTTGTTATCCGAAAAATATATTTTAATAAAACAGAAAAAGATAAACAAATATTCATAAAGTAAAATTTTTAGTTGTATATAATTGAAAAGAGAAAATTGAAAATTTATAATATGTAATTATATTCAAATTAAAAGAATATAATAATAGAATATAATGATATATATATTTGTGAAATTATTTTTTTCCTCTGAACTCACACGTTAAATTAAATTTATTTTATATTTTATATAGTTAAACCTTAAACATGAATTAATCATAATAAAATAAAATATCATTAAAAAAATACGTGTTTGACAAAAATAAATTCAAATATATTGTATTATTATCCAAACTAATATTATTCTTTCTGTAAGATCAATTTTTGAATGAATATTTATCGATTCAATTTTTCAAATTGAAAGATATTCAAATTGGAAAATAGCTTTCTATATTTTTATTAATTAAGAAGAAATAAAATAGACTTCAAATTTTTCAAAGTTAAAGGAAAAAATAGATTTTTTTAATTTGTGAATAACTTTATCATGTAAAATTTAATATTTTAGTTCGAATTTTTTGAATGCAAATAATCATTTATTTTGATGACATTTAAATTGACTTAAAGATAATTAAGCCCGCATATGCGGGCAAAACACCTAGTTTTTAAAGTATTAAAAAAAAAAACATCATTGCTTGAACTTGAAAGTTGATTGCTTGAACTTGAAAGTTGATTTCAAAAAAATCATCTTATAAAATTTTTTTGTCAAATATTTGAATCTCATTAGTCATTAGCAAGTGATATGCAAATGATACAAGCAATGGTTGAATCCAAAGCTGCAACTACGCAAATTTTCATCCTAAAGTCATCTTATAAACGTGTCGTACAAATAAAACTAACTAAAGCTAGGTTTGTTGTTTTGTGTATTTTATGAACTCATTGAAACTGCTTGATTCTTATGAACTAATTTGACGTTTAAACGGTTTCAAACGCTAAAAATGAGGGAAACTCAAAATCTTCAATAACTATGTATTTTAATAAACATAAAGATTTGACAATAACGTCGGGTCGGCGTCGACCAACTAAGCAAAGCAACCTCCCTAAGAATAAACGAGGGAGTTCGATAATTCGGTGTATATATTATATATAGAGTGATTAAGAGATTTCAACCGTTTTGAAATTATCAAATGGTCATGCATTTTATAATAATATACACTAGGATAAACCCGCCCTACGGGCGGGCGAATAAAAAAATAATAATATAAATTTTAACTAAAAATACAATTAAGGTTCATAAGTGTTTTTTTGAAAATTATTTATGCATTTTAAATTTCATTTTATAAATTATGAATTTGTCTAGTTACAATAAAATATTAAAATATAATTATTTAACTATACTAATAAAACACAGATTTCTAAAATTACAAAACACTATGAAACATTATATATATATATATTTAAAATTTTAAGTTTATATTAGATTTTGTATTATATATTGTTTTTTAACATCTTCTAACTTCATGGGTATTTACTTAAAAGTTAAGACCAAACGTATGTGGTATTGTCGTCTTAGCATTTTTGTTCCTTTGCTCACACTAAACCTTCACTCTTGTTAGCTTAGCTTCATGGCTTTTGTTTTCGTTATTTCTTTGTTCTTCTCAATTTCAATTCTCAGACTCTAAGACTCCATCTCCTTATCAAACTCCTTCACTTCTATTAAATCCAAAATAAACTTCCTGAAATTGCCAATTTTCTTTTTTTTTTTTCTTATCAATCACCTTTTTGTGCAACTTTCGGTCTCTTCAGTTAACTTAGTCTCTCTGTATAAATAATTTAATTTTACATCATTTGTTTGTTCACTTCTTATTTGCAATGTTCTTTGTATATTCTCATCTTAGTAGCTTGTCTCTACTATTCTAATGGAAGCTTTCAATTGGGTTATCTCTAGCTTTGCAAGATTCATTTTTCCTTCCAAAGTTTCCACTTTAGCTGATGATGATGATAAGTGTCTTATGTTTGTTTTTTATTCCTCAAGCTATCTAACACGTTTCTCTAAATGGTTTAGAGTTTTGTAATTCGGAATCAGTTTCAAAATCACTACCTTCTTATATATAGAACCAGAAATAATAGATATCTTAGCCACATTACCAATGTGATTGTGTGTAGTATCCAACTCCAACCTCTCTGTTCAAAAGTAATTAAAAAGGTCAAAAAATTTAAAACTATGTTCGCCAGATACAATACAGATTTAACGAAAGCGAGTTACTGATATTCAAAAGTATATAGTTATGGCGAAAAAGATGATAAGACAGAAGTAAATCAACTCCCTGCATATGGTCATATGTAAAAGCACGGAAATGAAACAATACAGAAAGCTGAGTTCTATCTACAGTGTTTCTCGTTTCGTGTAGGTATAAAATTCTAGAAATCGTATGGCTTCAGAAGTGGTGGGATAGTTGTTTGACAGTGTTTCACTTCTATATAGATAGTAAAGCATCCAATATGTGCAGAAGAAGATGACTTGCAGTAGCTCTGATCATCAGAAACATTTTACAATTATTCTACTGCATACCAAATTAAATACAATAGTGTACTTTAAATAACACGTTTATTAAAAGTAGTTGTGTTTCAGAATGAAGCATGTGAGAATGCAAGAGTATAGAAACCAAAATGTGTGGACATGACTCCATTTTTCCTGACGTCTTTATCACCACTCATTGGCCTTCACTCTCACTTTTCCCAGCAATCCTTACCACCGCTTCACCTCCTAAACTTCTTGCATAAACTGAGTTTCCGGTCATCAGAAGCTGTATAATTTCAAGATCAAGTTCCCATTTATCATATCGTCTTCAGTCTCCCACTGTCGCTTGCTCTGTAACTCACTGTCTATGAAACACCATAATCTAGAGGAGCCTCAAATGTCTCTGGCGATGCTTGACCAGGTGTTTGTAGTTGGATCATAAACGTCTCAGTGATAAGAACCTCCCTTTAGGCTAGTCTGTAACCGCTCTAAACGCAGAATCCTATCTTGACATTCATCAATTTACAGAAAAAGTGGTCATTAGATTTGGAGTTTCTGCAACAAACATAAGAAACTTGCAATATTTATCCTAAAAAAAAGTAAATCAACTGACCACTATCTTAGGTTATCATATATTGGCGTCGTCTGAATTTCTGGATAAGAAAACTTTGGAGGAAGCCATTCGAAAGAGAGAAAGTATGGTGAAAGAGGTTTGTGAATGATTCTCAGGGGATGTAAGCAAACCTATATATACCCGTACTTCCACCGACTTGCAGCAGATGAGAGGATAGTGAGTTAGAGATTGCGGTGGATGATTTAATGCGATGATCAATGCGTTTAAGACGGTTTCTGGTGGAGGCTCGTCTCAACCGAAGAATACGTACGAATTGGATCGTCACACAGAGAGCAAATTACAGTAAACTCCATGACTGTTATCGTTAGGTTTCACGAAGAACCCTAATTTGGCATAGGAAGGGGTAACGCAAGATGATTTCTCACATTTGACAGGCCAGGGAGCATAAGTGACATTGGGCCTGAAATCAAATAAAGCCCGTAATAACTGAGACGAAATAGAACGCAGCGTTTTTAAATTTAGTACACGTGTCACGCTAAGAAAAGAGGAATTACTGATGTGGTATAGGCAAGAGGGAGGCAAACATTACTTTATATATATAGATATGGTCTGGCCATAACTGGTCATATATTACAAGATACAAGACCTTTTCTCCAAGATTTGGTGAATCTACAAGTGCTTTTTTCTTCCCATTTCTTTAACGAGCAATATGCTTCCACTTGTTAGCTAGCATGTTATGCATGTGTAATATAAATGATCATTGGTCATTATCTTTGCTCAGATCCAGTATAATATTAGAAATAATGTT